ATGTATCCATATAGCTGTATATATGCAATGATTGTACCCTGTATACTGTACTGCGTTTACTTTCCTGCCAATAGTAATAGGTACGGTACTGTCGGTTCTTTGAGGAAAAAAAAAAGTAGAGAAAAACATCAACTGCGCAATTTGCGATTCGGCAGTAGGCGACATAAAGGTAGGCAGCAGCGCCGGAGTAGACGGGAGTGCGCGTGCGCTGCTATTGCTGCTTGCCGAGATACAAATATATATAGATATAACAAAGCCATAATGCACAGGGCAATCCACAAGGCCAGACGAATTAATGCTTAACGAAAAATTCAGGTTTATCTGTTTTATCATACGTTGTATACGAAATTCTCGTAATTGTAGTTCGTTGAGGCCCCTCCCGGACGATACGTCATGACCGTGAAAAACTGCCAACTGCGCATTTCGGCCGGCACTAAGGACTCTCGTCGATGGATTCCCCGACACCCGGGAAATAATTTACGTCGCGTAACGTTCGCACAACGTCTTTTAATAACCGCACACGATTAATGACGTTATTACGATATGACTTTTCCCCGTGAGCTTCTGTAGTCGTCGTTGACCGTTAGTCTTACAGAGAGCGAGAGAGACAGTCTTATTTATTTACTATGTAAATATGCAAAAAATTGCCAAATGCGCATTTGGCATTTAGGCCCCTGCGAACCTGACGTCACATTACACACTAATCCCGCATTTAGTCGTGCGTGTGCGTACCGACACTCGCGCAGGAAATGGCGTACAGATGCGTAAATCGGTATATGGTCAGAATACATTGGCGTCGCGCCACCATCGTCGCGTGATATCGTAATCCGTAGGCGCGAGAACGTCAGACATACGATTGGCATAGTACGAGAGAGAGAGAGAGAATGATGAAAAAACGATACTTGAAAAATAAATAATGTACCTGGTATCAATTCCCGCGTCGAAATCCATCGTTGACGGCGATAAAAAGCGCGTAAGGCAAAAATACGTAACGTCGCGTAATGCGAAGTAAAGGAGATAATCAAACGAGAAGTAGAAGGTCGCCAGACGCGCAGGAACGTGCTTTCCCTGTGCGAGGCGAGTATCGGGAGGCGCGTACACGTATGTACGTAATCGACGACGCACACGCGACGCACGCACGTTGCTTCATGAATTTGCGTAGTAAATAAAGAGAAAAAAAAACTGGAAAGAAAACAAAGACAAAACAATAAAACAAAGGAAAAAATGCACTATTCGACAGTATCGTTCCGCGTACTCAAAGTTTTTGCCAATTTTACGAAACTACGAAGTCCGTCTGGCGGTCTCGTGAAATTTAGTCGAATCAACGGGACAGATGGCGAGAATCAGGGAGGTTAGGACAGAAGCGACGGTGAAAAAGGTAACGTGTTCGAAGAAAAGGCAGAGGAAATTTGTATAGAGACGGAGTGAACGTGGATAGGTATAGGTTAGTAGCGCGGAAGGTGAACGAGAGGAAAGCAGAGGAAGAAGAACGAGAAGGAAGAAGAGACAGGAGCCGGCCGATTGGCTCCGGGAAGCCGGGGCTGCCTTGGCACTGACAGTGGCCCTCGCGCCTAGCAACACGAACGCTAAACTGTCGGCGCTTCGCTCGCAGAAACCAGCCGGCTCGCTCGTTCGCCACCACCGCTCCTACCTCCTGGCGCCCCCCCTTCTTCCTCCCAAATCCCTTGGCCAACGAGTGACGGCTACACTCCTGACTCTGCCTTGCCTGTCTCCTACCTGATTGTCTAGCTCCTCGGGCCCGACCGCCTGCTGATTTTCCTTGTCTGCTTCCAGAGGACTAGAGTCCCTCTATCGGTACACTTATTCTATGAGAATATTCAAGGTGGGCTCCTTTATAGATATACATATCACCGAAACGTGCCATCTAAATTACATACCCTGTGACTGTAGTTACTTGGATCCGTCGGAGTCAGAGATAAAGGGAATCGGATCGTAGACTCGACGAGTATTCAGCTTCTGATTCATACAGTTAATCACCTTATGGGGATATCACGTTATCACTAGCTAGTCCGATAGACAGGTGTGCACGGAGTGTTTTGTTTTTCAAGCGGATATGGTGGCGCTGTAACAAGGCTACGGTCCTGCTCTGGGCTGATTAGCTGGCTGTCATTTATCAGATCAAACGGAATAATGCAGCGTTGTCCGATGCAGCGGCTAGTGAAGTTCACTCGTGTTCGCTGCTCAAGCTTTTCATTCTGATGCTTCGCCATTATGAATTGTCCATGACGTGCTCGCGCCTGAACATCAATCATACGTCTCCCGAGAGCACGTTCTGTAAGGATTTTCTCTCTCTCTATTTCTCTATACTTCCATTTTACTTCTCGCGAATGCCTCGACAGGCTCTGCCGCTCGTTACAGCCAACCAGAATACGTAGCCGCAAGTTGCTCTGGTATTTTCGTACGGAATACAAAAAAAAAATGTCCGACGGACAGAATTTAATTGGGCGCGAATGACGTTTCGACGGACTGAGAACACGTTGTGTCGTGTAAAACTAGACACGCTGCCAGCCACTAAATTACAAGCAGATTCTCTGAGCAAGGAGAAGTAGGAAATGTTGTCACGGCCACATAGTCGACACAAAGACTTCTTTTGTTCCTCGCTCGGATAAACACTTTGAATTGTCCTTTCTTCCCTTTTCTTCTCCCCACCATCCTCATCTTTGTCCTTCCTCCTTCGTTCGTAGATTCTATCCAGGTTTGCGCGGACAAAATAGAAATTCGTTCGTTAAAGGAGCACCGCCGAATTATCGAGACTGAAAAAGATCAGCGACGGAGTGTGACGTAACCACCTGTGAAATTACAAAATTTCACTTGGCATTTACTTCATTCTTCATCTATCTTCTCCTAACGAACGGAGCAAGGAGAAAGGCTTTGACAGAACCATCCGTGCGAAAAATTTATATGGCTTTCGGATTAAGATTGAGCAGTTAAATAGAACTGTGTCCCGAATCGAAGAATCCAAGGAAACAGCAGCTGCTTACTCGGTTGGTATCGATCTAGGTACAAATATACGAACCAGGCTGGTGAGCATCGTGCACGATTAAACCGATGTCTGTAACGTGAACGAATTACGTCACCGTACACTGAAACAAGCGAGAAAGGATCGGGATCGAGTCTCGCAGCGAGCCAAAACTTTTTAAAACACCGCAGTGGCCTTCACCGGCATATTCCGAGTCTCAGTAGGTAAACCCCGAAAGGATACAGATATACGAATCCCTCTTAGCCGTCGAAACATTCGACGATTCTACATATACATTTTTTTTTACTGCTACACTTAAAACTATTGAACATTCCTTAAGAAAATTGTCTCGTTGAGATGTTTTATCTGAACATGATATATCGTTCTTTGTCTGCTATTACGTGAAACAAGGATATAATCAACACATATCGGGTGGCCTGAAAAAGTCAAGACGTAGCACCGATCGATAAAAGGTAAATTTGGCAGTGAATAGCAGTGTGCTAGATATCAAGCCGTGTGGAACCACGGAAAGAAAGAATCCAAGAGCGAACAAGAATAATGATAGACGTTAAAGTTATGTAGAGACTCTCCCATCTCTATGCTCTATGTTTAGTTCTGCATCACCCTCGGGTGTTCTAAGCCCAACCCAACCCAACCCAACCTAACCAGACCCAACCCAACCCCTTTTAGTACGAGTCGGCTGGGGCCTCCCTCTTGAGATGACATCTCTCTCGCGACCTTGAAGCAGGGATTGACCTTGACCGTGTCGGTTTCTCCCGGCCGTGGCACACCCCTCCGCGTCATATTACGCGCGACTGCTATGCTGCTTGCTGCTGCGGGCATCGCTACATCGACCGGCCGCAGCAAACCTACCCCTCATCTCCTCACTGATCCCCTTTGGATGCCCTAGAGCAAGGGAACCCTCGACTCTTTCACCCCCTTTACACCCTTGCACACCCTGCAACCCTGCACCGACTCGTATTATTACCAACGCTACCCCTCTCCGCTCCTCCTGTCTACCTAGCTATCTGGCTGCCATCACGGCCCTGGCTCCACTAACACCCATCGAACCAGCCAATCCGGAGGAGGAACGGTTACCCGCTGCATAGACGGTACTACAGCAGATATTTATATATATATATATATTATACAAGTGTTTTTGTTCAGAACCATTTATGGCATTTCTATACTTTGCCATCTTCCTACTAATTGACTTCAATTATTTGTGCTGCTGCTTCCTTCTGGCGCATCCCGGAGTATTTTCATATGTGTTTTAATGATGCAATAGGAATACACGATAACGAATATGCGTGATATGGAAGGTTGTGCAATGGAACTTCCAATTATTTGCTTCGGGCTTTCTGTGATGAGAATCTTGTCATAGAACGATTTTGGACATGCTAGCTAGAGAGTAATGTGATTTAAAATAATTTTGTCGCATACTTTCAATGAAAATGAGTATTTTGATGTGGGTTGATAAACACGATAAATTGATAGTTCGTTGTGCGTAACTCAGAGATCTTGACATTGACGGATGTACGAGGGTCGAGGATGTCCCTTTAAGCGATGAGACTGAGTACTTTAGTTAATCGTTATGCAGTGATTTTGGAGTAGATTTATCTTTTGCGTCAATAGATTTGTCTCACGTTGTAGTTGTATCATGGGTTTTGAACGATATTGTGTTTATATTTCCCGCCATGCTAAACAGACTGTAGACGGAAATAGAAACGACGGAAGGTGAAGGTTAAATTTTGGTAAATTGAATAGAATCTGTCAGTCATCAGAATATACGTGACGTTATGCTCTGCTACAAGGATGACAATGACGTATTAAAAGATGAAATAATAATAAATAAAAAATTTTCTCTTTGACTGTCGCACCATGTGCTTCCCGGTAGCCTAGACAATGTCGCTGGCAGCGGCATTCCAGCGATAAACTTTACGTTGGTTTATTTAAGGTAACTTCTTCTTATAAACATACACAGGCATTCCTTAATGTGACATATATAAGGCGAACTCACCCCTGTCGAATTTCTTCCCCTCTGGATCGATGTCTTTTACGTTGAAAATATCCTCGAACAGCACACCCGCCATTTTAACAATACGAACGAACACGCCTCTAGCGGTCTACAAACGAAGCTGGATACAGAGCCGTCGCTAAATTCGGGTCGTTCATCTTTGTTCTGCTTCGTCCAATTTATCAATAATTTTGACTTCTAGGAATTAGCTAGATTATCAATTAAACTATTGTTTTCCTTCCTCTATTTAGATACGTTAATGACGAATACTTGCTTTGGAATATACAGTTTGCAGACTGAATATTTTTCACGACCTTCAACAATGATTTCAATTTATTTTGAAATACAATTCGAATAAAATATAGATCACCATGCATTCTGCTCCAAGAACAATACACTGATAACGTGTTAAGAGACAATAATATTTATCGACTTACCAGAGACCTTGAAGAGCTACATAGAAAAAAAGTAATATTCCAGAGGGAGCCACCGGACGGTGCTTCCTTTTTACGCAGTACAATTATCCTTTTACGCAATACGAGGGTATCTTATACATCACGTCTTGTCTCATGTATGCACGTGTCAGTATGACCAGAAATTGGGGTTTCGCAATGTTGCATAATTCACATCGTTATCGATCAACTATTTTCAAGCTACCTCAAATGTAACTTCGTTGAGCGTAAATTCAACTTGTGTTGCGTTCCCTCGTTTCTAACGCGCAGCTAACTTAAAATTATTTTTGCGTTCAGAGATTCTAGGTCAAGTATCATACATGCGAATTTTGTTAACCCCATTATGTATATTTCGATTACCGTTATCAAGTAGCGTTTCATATTTTTAGCCATTTTCGCACGGTATACACTAGATAATATCGCGTAAATCGAAACTGGCGCCAATGCTATATACACCAGAGTGAGCAGAGTATAGTCAGTGCAGACGACAGTAATAGAAACGTGTGTTTATTCTGTGGTTCATTCAAGGTTTTGTATACGATTACCTTATCGGAGCTGAATTAATCATTTATTTGTTATTCTTTATTCTACGAAATGATGAGCGATGAGGATGCCCTTTTAAGCGACGAGAAAGATCGGGTAGGGTTTTGATATTATTCTTATGTGTTACTTGTTCTTAATTTTTTAATGAAGTTTTTCCTTCTGCTTTGAGGTTATGTTGTGTACCTTATAATAACTTGTGTAACTTATGCTTTTATTTTATTCAATTACAGGCACAAATTCGAGAGGAGCTGTCGCATATGAGTTTCGAGGATTTACAGAAACTCAAAGAAAAGTTAGGAACTAAGGTGTACAATGAGGCAATGTTTGGCACGAGAAGAGCAAAGAAGACTGAGTTCAAGAGAGAAAATAAAAATAGACCTCGAGAGGCATCAGCAAAGAAGCAAGTCCCTCGGTATATGGAAGTAGTTCCTCTGAAGAAGACTGCCCCTCGAGATCCTAGGTTCGACAGTCTTTGCGGTACTTTCAATGAAAAGGCTTTCAAGCATTCTTATGCATTTCTCACAAAATTGAGAGAGAGCGATCTCGAGGCACTCAAAAAAGAATTGAAGGAGAGTGACGATCCTAAAAGGATAAAGAAAATAAAGTATCTTATTCAAAGACTTGAAAATCAGTTGAGAGAAGAAAATAAGAGAAAGCTGGAGGAAGAAAGAAATAAGATCGAGAAACAGGAAATTGCCGAAGATATAAAAGAAGGAAAGAAACCAAGTTTTAGAAAGAAATGTAAGTTATTACCATTTGAATATTTAAATTTGTTTTTATCGTTTCAAGTTCATACATATCATATTTCATCATTATCAATGTGACCATTATTAGCTCCCATTAAAAAATGCATGCATTTTTATATGCACTGTTTGATAATAAAGTTCTCCATCTGCTCGTATTATCCGAATATTAATACAATAATATTTTCATTTATACAGCTGAAAAGAAGATTCTCAATTTAGTATCACAGTACGAGGAATTAAAAACCACTGGAAAACTGAAGAAACACATACAAAGGTTACGTAAAAAGAATACGACAAAGGACAGAAGGAAATTAGTAGCGACTGACGACGAGTAAAATAATTGTACACACTGTAGATATCGAAGAGAACGATTTTTACTGCAAAAATAAAAATACTAGAATGCACACAAGCATACAAAAACATTAAGAATATTCACTTACCTGCAGCAGCATTATCAAACCGATATGAATATTCCTAACACTATTACAACTAGTGATACGATATGCAGCAAAGCAAATTCCAAAACATTATTATCAGTGATTAGCAAATATAAAATCCAATCGAATAAAAAGATCACTATTAATTATGTATTTTTTATTTAACATCAAAAGTAATGACACTTGGGTTGGACAATGTCTCTTGTTTCTTCCTTAATGTATTCATGTGTGAAAACAGAACTTATAGATAATCATATGAAAGGAATCGTCAATCAGAAGGTATAAGAGATAGTAGGTTAGATCAGCGGTGTGTGTGTGTGTAATTGTGTGTGATGAGTATTGTTATTATTTTGTGAGTCACATGCGCGCGGTAATAGTGTGAAATGTGTTGGGTCACCGTGTAACAGTGCAATGGTGTATCCGTGTCCTACGCGAGTGCGTACAAGAGAGGGGGGGAGTGATAGGTAAGTGTGTAGTGGTAAATGTTATGTGTATATGCGAGTGGCGCTAAACGGAAAAAAAAACGCAAAAGAGTAGAGACCCGTGTTTCTTTTATCATTTATCATATTTTGCGTTTTTGTTTGTTGTCTTCTTCAAAGACCCTCTTGAACGGGAAGAGCGTCTTCGCGGGTCTCCGGTCACGCGCAATCTGTCTGTCCGTCTTTCAATTATTTAAAATATGTACAATATTAATAAAACATTATTCAATTTTTATTTTAATCATTCAATGATTCTGTCGTGTTGCGGCGGATCGCGTAGGACCGACGTCCTGGGCATCTTCGTCTCTCGGCTGACAACGGAAGTCCCTGAGATCCCCGCTTCCTAGTTTTACATCCTTCTACATCTCGTCTCGCGTATCTTAATTAATATCCTTGCGACAAAGCCACGCGTGCATACCGATCCAGGAGGTGTAACGGAGAGAGGTCCATAATTAACTGATGTTTAATCGTTCTTGCTCGCGTGGTTAATTAATCGCTCCCAATGAGCCACGCGAAAGTAAACAAAAGATTGGACAGGCAACAATCCCGAATGTATAACCTATAAGCAGATGGCAGATGGCATCCAAAACCATTGTCCAATAATTTGTCAAAACCTTCTCAATGTCCCAGTAGGTGCACGACCGTTTCCTGCAAGTAAATTCTCCGTCGGATTGTTCGCGTGGACGCGAGTCGCCGTGAAACCTCGTGAAGCGACGGAACTTCCGGCAAAACGCAAAAAAAGGCAACGCGCTTTCACGAAGCCGAGCCTAAACGTACAAGGCCGGCGCGAACCGCCGCACCGGTTTGGTCTTAGACCGACATTTTATGTTCTTCACATTGTTTTTATTCTTTTTATCGTTTTCTTTATTTTAACTCTTCTCTCCCTTTCATAAACCCGTTAGCCATTTTTGCCTGCTGAAAATGCTTCCCGCCACCTTTCCCCCCCATTCTTTCATCCTGGCCCATTCCATGTTTCCTTTTCTTTCTTGCACTTATGATTCTCTCTCTTCATCCACCCCGCACGCGATTCTCTCATATTTTTTTTGTCGCTTATACGTAGTTTGTTTTTTTTTTCTTCAACAACACGATCTAGACTAACCATATATAATAATTACATCTAATAATATCTTATTGTAACATGTATTATATTATCATTATTATTTATTTATTATTATTATATAATATTAATATTTAAATTATTAGCCTAAAATGAGAGGCGGCGCACGACGGCAAAGCATTTTTTTTGGGCTTCTACGCCCCCCGGCGCACGGAACACCCTGTCGACAACTGCGACACGATTATCCCGCAAACGTTTACTCCCCCCCCC